AAAAATCGACCTCCACCCTTGGAAAAATTTCGGCCAAAAATCAAAATTTCACATGCGTGTTTTTTGAGCTCAATCGATTCCTTTCGACGTAAGAAAGTTACAAATGTGCATTTATAAAGTATTTGGGTCAATAATAACGAAGAAATCGTCGGTTAAAGATCGTGAATGCTAAAAACACGCTTAAAATGTGCCAAAAATGTCTACTATTTCGGATTTGAAACTTCTAGCATGTTTTTCAATAAATTCGATGCATTCCTCCCTTCAATGAGCTGAAAATGGTGTAAAATTTAAGGAATTTTGAGAAAATGTTGATTTTTTTTTAAATCGACCTCCACCCTTGGAAAAATTTTGGCCAAAAATCTAAATTTCACAAGTGTGTTTATTGAGCTCAATCGATTCCTTTCGACATAAGAAGGTTACAAATGTGCATTTATAAAGTGTTTCAGTCAATAATAAGGAAGAAACCGTCGGCTAAAGATCGTGAACTCTCAAAAACGCCTTAAATGTTCCGAAAATGTATATTATTTCGGATCTGAAACTTCTATCATGTTTTTGAATGAGTTCGATGCATTCCTTGCTTCAATGAGCTAAAAATGGTGTAAAATTTAAGGAATTTTGACTTTTTCAAAAAATCGACCTCCACCCTTGGAAAAATTTCGGCCAAAAATCAAAATTTCACAAGCGTGTTTTTTGAGCGCAATCGATTCCTTTCGACGTAAGAAGGTTACAAATGTGCATTTATAAAGTGTTTCAGTCAATAATAACGGAGAAATCGTCGGCTAAAGATCGTGAACGCTCAAAAAACGCTTAAAATGTGCGAAAAATGTCTACTATTTCGGATTTGAAACTTCTACCAAGTTTTTCAATAAATTCGATGCATTCCTCGCTTCAATGAGCTGAAAATGACGTAAGAAGGTTACAAATGGGCATTTATAAGATGTTTCAGTCAATAATAAGGAAGAAATCGTCGGCTAAAGATCGTGAACTCTCAAAAACGCCTTAAATGTGCCGAAAATGTCTACTATTTCGGATTTGAAACTTCTAGCATGTTTTTCAATGAGTTCGATGCATTCCTTGCTTCAATGAGCTGAAAATGGTGTAAAATTTAAAGAATTTTGACAAATTTTTGATTTTTCCAAAAAAGCTATTTAAATGGTTTTGTCAGTCCTTGCATACATAAAGAAACAAAATCAGCTTCGAAACCAATCACAGATTCTTGGGAAACAAATAGGCTTGACAAGAAGAAAACATGTTGCCACTTGATTCATTCTTTTCTTTAAAACAACGCAACAGGCGTCTGTCATAGTCTCTCTTCAGTAAAATCAAAGAAAAAACATTGAGCGCACTGCACTACTTAAAAGCACCGCTAGTCAAATCTTAAAAACTTCTGGATGAAGTCCGCTCAGTGATGTGCGATGAGTTATAACTCACCAACTCATAGAGCGACATCCACTTAAATGCGCCACTCAACACAGTGTTACCCAGGCCTAGTGGCATCTGCATAAATTCATCACGGAATATAAAAATCTAGGACAACAACCGTTTGAAAAGAATTGGCAAATTATGCGTGCAAAATTATTCATTAAAGCCGAGCGTCATCGCCCCATTAGGATAAATATTGGCAAAAACCTTGCTCTCTATTCGCCTTCAAGTGCACAGATAATTTGATTATTATCTTTAACAATCCCCATTAACCCCCCACGTGTTTTCACATTGTGATTAGTGAAAATTTCTGTTTATTACAGACATACTACAGACAATTACGTCAATTGAAGCATGTGCTTCATTCAAGTGCTGTTGATTGCTTTTTTGCTCGCTCGGCTATTCTGCATTGATTAAATTAGCGAAAAAATGTGTTTTAGTATACAAATGTACTCTAAACAAATGGAAACAAATAGGTCAGTAGATGATGCGATGATCACGAAGAGAAACCCAAAAAAGCGGTAAAATAAGGCTAAACGAGCGGCATAAAATACGCACGGTTTACCGCAAAGAAATTGTAATTTAAGGAAACATATCAGATAGCGCGTGCATCTGACAAGAAAGTTATGGTTTGAAATCGGTTTGCATATGGGAAACATAGTAAAAACTCCATCGGGAGTAAATATTTTTGGTTCTAAATCCACCCCTGACTAAGAAAGAAACTGCGAAAAGACTGTTTGAATGGAGCTTGAGACTATCCACTGACAAAAGCCGGTTTAGGTCTTAAATAAGTCGGTGTGGCGTTGATTTTAAAAAGGCAAGCGGGCCATCATCGACATCCACTGCAAAGCTGCAATTATTACAAGACGAGATGACAATGATATCTTGATGGTAACTTGAAATGCGGGCTTTAAGGTTGGGTCAAGCCGCACAAAAAGCTGCGCTTTTCCCTTTGACTTTGCGCATTATCTTCGTGGGCAACTGGATTCTTGCTAAAGAATTCTGCTACCGGACTAGTTACGCGTTATCTATGTGGTGCAGAGATGTACAGTACAGTTGAACATTGGCTGAACCCAAGAACTAACGGCACCTAAAGCGATAGATTAATAGAAGAACCTTACGGTTTCGGATTTTTCTCGTCTCGCCACATAAGTGGTCAATTATTGTTAAGAGTTGGAGCACTGGGCAACCGGACAAAGACTGTGTGAGTGTTGAAATGGCCAAAGAATGTCCATCATTGTCCAGACGCTCATTAGTCATGTTAACGTGGAGACGTTTTGCTGTTTGGTGGCATTTCTGGCTTAACTATTGCACTTTTGGCAACTCTCAAGCCGCATATTCATAAATCGCCAGCTGCACCGGCATAATGGAAATAATTTTTTCCATCCAATGAAGAAAGCGCGATTTGCTCGCTGGTATCAAGGTACGATTTATTGCGGCGTGTTTATGGCATTAATAATAATAATACCATTGATAACGTTTCGAGATGTTGACTAATAGTAATTGCAAAATATGGGTGTGCTGCCACTTGGACATCTATAATTAGTATTGCGTAGGGATGGGACATCGAAAGGTAATATCGATGTTAGGGAAACATCGATGTTTGACAACATGATTTGATGATTTGAAGTAAATGTGACACTTTGAACTTGC